GACTGGAATAATATGGAGCCGAATCGTTGTTATATTAAGAGAAAATATCATGGTTAAAATTATCATGGTCAAAATGTTAAAAATGGCTGGCTATTTTCGAGATTTTTCATTTGTAAATACACGTATAACATAACACAAATCACTATATAAGTATCAAAACAAAACAAAAAATCTATTTATGTTTTTTTTCACTTTCTAATTTTCACCTTTGCAAATTCACTGTAACTTTTTCATCTTTGCATTTTCAACTATCGGAATTTCTCCATTGTATTTTCCACTCTGATCAGCAGTGAATATTCGCTAGTCCGCTACAGTCACTGAAATGATGACATCATGCGACTTAAGAGAGAAAAAATAGTCTAAACCCTTGTATACATCAACAAGGCGACTGGAATAATATGGAGCCGAATCGTTGTTATATTAAGAGAAAATATCATGGTTAAAATTATCATGTCAAAATGTTAAAAATGGCTGGCTATTTTCGAGATTTTTCATTTGTAAATACACGTATAACATAACACAAATCACTATATAAGTATCAAAACAAAACCAAAAAATCTATTTATGTTTTTTTTCACTTTCTAATTTTCACCTTTGCAAATTTACTGTAACTTTTTCATCTTTGCATTTTCAACTATCGGAATTTCTCCATTGTATTTTCCACTCTGATCAGCAGTGAATATTCGCTAGTCCGCTACAGTCACTGAAATGATGACATCATGCGACTTAATGAGCCCCAAATATTAACTTTTTTCCTTCTGCAAATTAAATTTTAAAATTTTTTGTTAAGCATTAGAAAAAAACCCCCAATACGTTTCAAGTCTATGTAGGTAAAGTATATTTCCTGTTCAGTGTAAATGGGTATGTAAAATGAGTAAAAGGCACCATTGCTGCCCGGACTAGTAGCGTCTTATGTTAACAATGCACGCGCCATTAAGTGATGTCACATGATAAAGCAGCCATCTTTTACTCCCGGTGTCTATTTTTAGGCTGGCCTTTTTTTTCACGTATCTTAACATGGTAAATGCTAAGGAAAACGGCTTTTTTAGTCTTTTTCTTTTAATAGAAAACGTATTCTTGAATGCCACTATTGTTGTAAGATGCGTGTAGCATTCGTAATAAATTACCGATTTTAAATCATGTCTAAATTAATTTTTTTTTCGTTTCATTGACGATATACTGCATTGTAGCAGACGATATATGCCAAGCTCGCAAACGTTCCAGTTGACCGCTGTACGCAAAAGCATAAACGAAGATGCATTGCTGTATGAAGCCGATTTATATGTTGTGTGTTAATTTTACTGCAAACAATTAATAGATTATCATTATTGTTCGATTTATCTAGCGCTTCATTACACATGAGTGTTTCTAAGCGCATTCACAACAAAACAGTTCAAAAACATTTTTGAAATAAATATGTTTTCAAGTTAGTTTTAAAGCTCTGGATGGAAGAGGACTCTCGAAGAGTTTTTGGAAGATCATTCCACATTTTAGCTGCTCTGACGGCGAAAGCATATTCACCAGAACGTTTATTATATTTAGGAATCCTCAATATGCTACGATCACGTGAAGAACGAAGGTTGGATCGCCGAGGAGAATAGAAATTAAAGAGTTCTTTTAAATAACTGGGTGCAGTGTTAGAATAAATTGATTTAAACACATTCACAAGACCTTTAAATTGAACCCTCGCTGGAACTGGAAGCCAATGGAGTTTCTGTAACTTAGCTGATATATGATCAAATTTTCGTGTTCTAGTTATGAGACGTGCAGCATTGTTTTGCGCTATTTGTAGTCTGTTTAAAACTATTTCTGGTGCTCCTAATAGAAGAGAATTTGCATAGTCCATATGCGATGTTACTAATGCTCTAAGTTTCTGTAACTTAGCTGATATATGATCAAATTTCAGTGTTCTAGTTATGAGACGTGCAGCATTGTTTTGCGCTATTTGTAGTCTATTTAAAGCGGTTTCTGGAGCTCATAATAGAAGAGAATTTGCATAGTCCATATGCGATGTTACTAATGCTCTAACAACACTCTGGCAAGCATCAGTATTAAGATTAGAGCGTATTCTCGAAATAGCTCTCATTTCAAGATCCATTTTCCGTATGATACTATTGATTTGGGGAACTGGGGACATAAATTCATCGGTCACATAGCCAAGATTTTTAGCCTGCTTCTTGGGATATATAGAGCAATCACCTTTCTGCATGGAATCCGCTTTAAACAATTTACTGAATTGTGATTTTGATTATATGACAAGAAATTCGGATTTGTCATCGTTAATTTTTAGCCTATTTCTGGTCATCCATCCTCGAATGTCTTAAAGACAAGACTCTATTCTACTGATAGAATCCTTGGAGGCAAGATAGTTGTTGTGTTGAAAGTAGTCATATATTTGGGTGTCATCAGCAAATCCGTGGTTTTGTACCCTATGTCTTATGATTTGACCATTTGGAAGAAAGTATAGAAGAAAAAGTAGAGGTTCCAATACAGATCCTTGTGGAACACCTATCCTAACAGCACACCCATAGACCTACAACATCTGTTTGATTGTAAAATGCCACGAAATAGAGCATAAGAGTAAATAATAGAATGGGTTAGAGTGGTGATGCTGCGTTCCACGAAAGAATTATTCAAGACGATATTAAAATTTAAGCACGACCGTAGCACATCTAAAAAAAAAAAGAACAAATAATAATCACGCCGTAAAAAATAATTTTGTATAGTCCAGTTATATATTTGCATTCAACAGTTGTTCTCTGAACCTAATACTGAATTAGAAATTGATAAAATGGACACAAATGTATCGTTCTTCATTCTTTGTTGCGACAGTGAAGATAAAAAGGTTTTAAAAGATATTCACAGATTCAACTTGATCATGGTTTTATTTTTTCTGTTATTCATATTCCATCAAGGGGATATTTTTATAAAAAATGGCCGAAGTCTTACTCCGTGCATCAAACAACTACTTTATCATTGGTTAGAGCCGTCTAAACGCGGGGAAATTTACAGTACCTATTGGCTAACAGCACGCATAAACGATCTTAGTTGCATATTGCATACTATTTATAGTATTATTAGCTGAAATTATTTTTAAGTCGATAGCCGCAAGAACCAGCATAGTACCGTGTTTTTTGCAGAGTATAGCATGCAGCGCAAAAGCAGACGATATATCATCAACCTCGCGCGTACTGTCCAGTCGGCAGTTGAATGTAAATAGGATACACCATTTAAATCTTTTGTGTCAATAGTCCTGTGATTATTAGATAAAGTCTGTTTGGTCGTAAAATGCGTAATAAACTTGACAAAGTTCTAGTTCGGGCCATGAGCACAGATCAGTCATCCACTTGTTTTCCCCAATTGCATATGGCCATTATGGGTCTGGTAAACTTGCCGTATCTTTTTCTACATCGAAGTTTTTGTAAATATCGTTTCTGGCAACGGTCAATAAACCTTACACGTATGTAGAAATGGCGATCGATTCCATTTTATGTAAAACAAGCTTACTATACGACGGTATTTTCACCAAAATACACACAGTGGCCTATGGGTTTCAGTCTACGAATAAGGCCATGGTCTGTGCATGACCGAAAATGACGTCAAAGGGGAAACCCGTAAAAGCTCCTATTAGTCTTCGTAATACCTCTATGAAACAGATTGTGTATTTTCCACCACCAAAATTTCTCGAATCGAACGGACAGAGGGCGTGGTTCAGCCAAAGTTGACGTTATAAGACGTCAGTATTTATAGGTTCGGCTAAAATTTACTGCTGCATTGGGTTATTCATAACTGTTAAGAATTCTCCGAATTTATTGATTATTTTTTGGGGAAAAATGAAATAAATTCGTTGTCATGTAGAACAACCTTTTGTTTAACGAGTTATATCATCGAACACTGAGGTTGGCTCATTGTCTTAATAGACCGGGCGAATCTTTGATAGCACATCGGCATGAATGTGAGTGAATTGCTGGCGTTATCTGAAATAAGTGTGAGTACAAAAGAGGTGACTGGCTGCCTTAGTCAATTAAAGTAGCTAAGTCTCAAACTCAATATCATCCAAAATCTTCGACATTGAAAACACGAATTATTTGTCAGTTTAAATCAACATTGATGTTGTGATCTTACCGGGAAAAGGTGGACTTCTGATATCCAATATTTAAGACAAAATAAACATTTTACCATTGGTACACGAATCGTATACCATAATGCGTGTCAGCGCCATTTGTAATAAGAGATTCGAAAAACGCGGCTATGCGTTCTCTTCATTATAGATTAAACTTTCACAATAATGTAGTTAGCAAAAGATTCCTATACTGCTGAAAGACCCTTCGGGTCTTTAAGAATTAGATTAGAATTATGTCGTAAATTCCGTTCCATAAGTAGAGGGTGTTTTTAAAATACCGTCAGTAAAGTTGGAATGAGTGTGTCTGGGTCAGTTTTCAAAGTATGCATCTACATCTCGATTGAAACACACGATTTAACAAGATTAATTGAAGACCTCCCAAATCAACAAACCAATGAATATAATTTTAAAACTAGTTAAGATTTACTTAGCCGACATGTAATTAAATTTTCAGGTGTTAAAATAAATAGGCCTATTTCGACTAGTAGACCTGCATATTATCGGCACCCTCTTCTCCGAGCTTACATTTCTACTGTCAAGTGATATCGCATTCAGATGCACAACAGTCAGCAGTAACTGTTTGCTAAATAAAATGACCCGTAAAAGGTAGTAAAAAATACTCGTATTCCATTAAAAATCAATAGGCAGCTAAACACACGGCGCGTGCGACTTTGTTAATATCACGAGTTACTATAGCAACTGATTTACGCGTTTGTCTACACTGGCTTCTATGGTAACGTGCTAACTGGATTCTCATTTACATATTGCTAGATGTGACGTTTGTCGACAGCTTGCTACATTTATAATTTAACCGACCATAAAGCATTGTGTTATTAAATATTAGTAAAATTTCACATGTAGCCTATACGTTGAGAAATTTATATTAAGCGACAACTGCTAGTATTATTATATCTTTCTCTAGATCAACATACACAACTCTACATAGCTGACATTGTAACTCACTGATGTATACTACTAGACTGTTGCTTATTTTACGTGATGTTTATAAAGAATTAGCTGCATAGTAGAGAGTGCTTCAATAAGGTCGAGAAGGCGAATATAAACTGACATTTTGATGTTTTCACCGGTCGACTCTACTAGAAAGGGGAATGAATTTAGGAGATATCACCATCTAGTGGTCGATAGACGGAGCCGATAGACAGTGAAAAGCCAGAGAATAAGGCAACCTATACTAGTCGATTGATTTGTCTCGTGATACACAGCACTCGGAGCGTGGCCAGTTCAACGCTATAGTTATTGTACGAACGTTATGGCAAAGACGTCAGTGGTGCCCTGTAGAGTCTGCAAGTCGCAAAACTCTATCTTTGTCCTTTGACGTCTTCGTTACCAGTCGGAGAGCTGACGTGTGCCACGGTTTGGCAGCAGTCCACCATCGATTTAGCTGTTGCATATGCACCAGGATGCACGCTGACATATTGTGTAAAGTTTGAGCGCTTGTTATTTTAGTTTTACAGCATTAAGAGTTATGTATGTGACATCATGGTAGATTATACTCCAAGCTCTAGCCGTTTCCTAGATGCTCTCATAAATCATAACAGTGAATCATGCGCAACATACAAAATTGTGACTAAAACGCATTGCCTACAAGTGAAGAAGAATGTGTAAAATGTTATTGAATTCAATATAGCTGGTTGTGCCTGTTTACAACCCCACTTTTATAATATATAGGTAATATTTTACTATATCATCCTAATACCGTATTGTGCTACCTTATTACAGTGTAGCACGTGGCGAAACAACAATTAAGGTCAGAGTGGCTGAGGTTCTGGGTGCCATGCCAGCATCCCCTGGGTGCGAAGAGGTCACTCAAGTTATTTGCGAAAAGCACCCGTTGTACCGACACGAAAGTGACGAAAGTGGACAAAGTGGACGTAGTGGAGATAGTAATAAAAGTAGTGGAAATTCACAAATGAGTCGAGACGCTGGATTAAGCAGCCGGCTGCAGAAGAAAGATGGTAATAACATGCAGCACACTAAAGGGGCTGGTGGAACCAGAATTGACTTTGGGGAATATTACCCTGACGGTGGTTGGGGTTGGGTTGTTGTCATAGCAGCAACTTTAGTTCACATTCTTTGTAATGGATTTCATTTCTCTTATGGTAGTCTATACTTGGAGATAAGACACACCTATAAAACAGATGAGATTGATACTGGTAAGTTAACTGTTACCACACTTTATATATTTCCTCACTTTTTGATTTATTTTTTTCTCCTGGTACATATTGCATAATAACATGAGACAATAGTTGATATGATATGTACACAGGGATCATTTGCAAATATTGCTAAGAATTTTATTTTTAGCCCTTAGGTGGAGTTTCCCTCTTAGTTTCTATCATGTAGTTTTGGCATCTGTAAAATGTGTAAGTTAAAAACAGATTATTGTCCAGGATTGTCCAGGACACACTTTCAAACACACTTGCTTTTTAATACTGTATTTGTAATTTAACTGTTGTTAAATATAAAACCTTTACTCCTGTGATTATTTCTTGTTAAAAACATTTTTTATACCATTGAGTGCTGAGCGAAAGGTCAGTGAAACATGACTTTACTATAAAACGATTAGGGTATTTTTAGAGAAGTTGTGGCAGTCGTTCGATCAGGACATCAAGATGTAGATAAGTTCGGTTCTCATCGGGAATCTGGAGTAGCGTCGCTCGCATGACCCCGTGTACATGTACACACGATTAGTTAGTATTTGAAAATGTGCCGATTGAAAATTCCATGTTCGGACATCAATACAAGCCCAGAACAATAAACAAATCACTTCTATAGTCTCAAAATGGGGTAGATGTATATTTTGACGACACTTTAAATGCCATTCCATTTAGTTAATGATATGTACATAAGCTCTGGCACCTAGAGGCAAACTAGTAGAACTAGGACTGTAGTTTAACATCAAACGGACTGCTACTAGTTTATTGTATATGATATATTATATACACATATACAGATTTATATATTTTAGAAGTATAACACCAGATGCATAAGAATAGCATAGCATTCGATATCGATCGGGCGAATATGGCATCCATGAAGAGTATTTTCAGCGTCTAGTTTACCATTGTTCTGTTCAAGCAACAGTGTTGACAATGCCAATCAATCTTATCTGTACTATTTATAGACTTCTACATGACATCATACCAACTATTGTCTCCTGTGGACTCTGTAGCCTTCTTGTAGTCAATACTAATGTGTTTATTAATATGGATATTATTACTTATAAGAAACACTAGCCAAATACAATATTTAATGATGATGCTGGCACGCCAGCTTTATGGAAAGTCTGCCTTTTGCCGGATATTATAAAAAACAAACGGTAATCTATGGTGGAATCACCTACATTTGCAATAACTATACCCGAAGTTTTTCTTGAACATATGAACAATAATACTCGGAAACTACCTAGCAGATAATATACACCATTATAGTTTCCTCTATATATCAATAACTAATTCTTTGCCTCTCACCCGCAACAACCAAAATTATTTAAAAACGTATTTAAAAAAAAAAAAAAAATCGAACGACTTTATGTTGCCCCTTGTCGGGCCCTGTGTCCTGTGCGGGACAATCCCGTCGGAAAATCTCTATGAACTTTCTCGACCAACGCAGGGATGGAACGCATTAGAGAGCCAACGTCTTACCCACTGAGCCACCGTGGCTCCCTGGATGACATTGAAAGATATTAGGTAAGATTATTGGTTTTGCGCATATGCCGTCTATCGTCTGCAGAATACTAATATAGGTCAGTGTAAACAGATTTATTTAACGCCTGCTTCCACTGAGGTGATATTGCTGACAAATAGATCCGCTATAGTTTTGAACATCTGGGACATTTATCTTGTTAAGCTTTAAGTGATTTTCTTTCTTAATATTACATGTAATTAAATATCCGATAGTCAAACCAATTAAGTTTTAAATTATATTAGACAGTATGCATATTATAGCGATTGCACATGAAACGGGATACTACTAAAATAATAAGCCAGTATACGTGCAATATTCAAATTATAATAACCACTTATTTCTAGAAGCATGTAAGAATTTTAACTCGATATATCATTGTCAAAACAACTTAATTCACAGTAATATGTCTTATTCAAATTATTTTGACTAGTGTTTATTACCATATATTTTTAGTAGTAGTATAACACGGTCTTTTGTTTTAAGTCAGTGTCTATCTAGAAAGTACAATGACATGACATTTGGTTTAACGTGATGAATTATAGGGACAGTCAGACGTGATATTGCGTGAAGGCTATATCCAACCCGAAGAAGATATTATAGAAGATTATTGTGCCGAGATGTTGACCCGAAGATTGTCCACTCAAATCAGAGTTAGCAAAAAAGTGATTTTGGTCTAGAGTATTTTGACATAATATTCTGAGATGAAAATGTGCAGGAAATGTATATATTTAACCTATGTAAAATGAAGAGATAATGAACATCTATTCTCGACATCCAACCTCGTGGGTTTTCTCCGGGTCCTCCGGTTTCCTCCCACTGCTAAAGACCCCTACGCGCAAGCGAATTATTGAAATAAAATTGAAGCATGTGTTAGTCCAAAATGACCTAGTTTATGTCGAGTGGACGTTAAACCTCATTTTTCTCTCTCTTCTATTCTCGACATAATTAAAAGTGAATATAACAATCAGCTTTAAACCCGCCATTTTCTTCCCTCCTTCCTTCCTCTATGATACATAGAACGACCTGTGATAGCCAACGGTAATGCTATGACAGCGGAAACCTGGACTATGTCTTGTGTCCCGGAAAGAATGTCCTAAACAAAACGTAACATAGCAATATACACAAAAACATAAATATAATATACATTGCCGCCCTACTCGATGATGCGCATTGGGGACTTTATTTCAAACCAACGTGATACATACCTTGATAGGGAAATTCTTAAAAATTATAGACCCGTGTTAAATCTTTCGTTTATTTCCAAATTGACTGAAAAGGTGGTTAATCAGCAATTTATAGGACATGTGTCGCATAATAATTCCCAACGAGGCTTTTCAATTTGCTTATAAACAACACCATGCACAGTACCGAGTCAGCACTGTTGCACCATTACTGCTTCTGAATGTGGATCGAAAGAACTCAAGTAGTACTTGTGCTTTTACATCACAGGACGGCATTCTACACGATTGGCAAATCAGTGCTGCTAAATTGTTTGGAAATGAATTTTATAATGCGTAGAATGCCCCAAATAGGATCTTATCGCCTTTGACCGATCGTCATCAATAAACTCCTCTCAATCAGATCCTATATCACTTATATACATGTATTATGATGTGCCACAAGGATCGGTTCTTTGACCGGTCCTTTTTACTGCGATATCCTTTTAAAAAGTACAAATCTCAAAAATTTACTCAATACTTGCAATTACTTATTTTATTATGCTCATGAAATACGAACGCCTGCCCTTCTGGGATATTAAAGTGGCGGATATTATAAAGGAAATTGGGTATGGTTATACTTTCCAACACACCCCGTATGGTAATTTCTACCCTTTCAATCATAGTCGATTATAATAGTTTTACTTTTATTGCATTACAAACACGATTGTAATCTTTGGTGTAATAGGCCAAAATTTTATACTGCCTCCCCAAATGTAAAACCACTAATTGATTTGAATGTGCCTAATTTCATTTAATTATACTACTTACATACCTATGATTCGTGCGCAATTTTTCATTTAAATAACGACCCAGATTGTGTTATCAATTGTCCAGACGCATGCCACGTTACAATCATAATATTAATAATCGATCGATATACATGCATTTGAGAAATGTGGCGATGTTTTTTTTTGGTTTAAACATGCCGATTTAGCATGCATTTGTATCGTGATATCACCGAGTGTCAAGGGGTTTATATAGTTATTTTCGTCCACGAATATTTGATTAAGCCTTCTTAATTTGGTAACCAATATCAAATTGGTGAACATTTACTACATTGTAGAATGACATAAATCTGGGTGAATGACGTTGGTAAACAGACTGTCACTTTCCGTGACGTAAACGGCAGATATGTTATGAAAAATATTTCTCTTGTGCTGACATTTATAGATAGTTGTTCTGACAGTTATGTTAAAACCTGGTTCTTAGATATCACACTAGAAACGACATACTACCATTATGTATTGTATATAATAGGTCTGATAATTAAAAACCAGAAAAAAATAATATTCATGCAGACAGAAAATAAAGGAGTATATCATTCCGTCTTGTGAACATAGACCAGACCATCTGATATCTTCCCATTTCAATATGCCCATGGAAGCCGTCGATGTGAAATTATCATATCGTCATATTATTAATTAACGTATTATCATTGTATCGTCAAGACCAGCTATCATCAAATTTTGTCGGCAGACGTTTCTGGCGACAGTGTGGGGTAAATCCGATGAAATTTTCGGATGAAATTCGGAATCCCCATTGCAGGATTCCGAATTCCGGCCCACACCCAGCACACCCGGCCCAGAAAGTCTATTATACCAGCCCAATCCAGATTCCAGTGATGGCGTGGCGGCCCGTTAAAGCCACCGGCCACATACAACATGATCATCATCGCTCCATGGCCGGTCCAATACCCCCCACCCCCATATAATATTCAGCAGAAAGTTTTTTTTTAGATGAATTGGTCATTTTTTGTCCGACCGGCCCTTCGGCGATCGCCCGATCGCCCGATGGCCCAATCCGCCCCTGGTTGGATGGCTGAATGGTTAGCGTGCGCGCGCTGTATCATAAAGTCTGTCATTGAGTCGACTGGCGTGGTTTCGAATCCCCGGTTGTACGTGACAAAGAGTAGGGTCGCCTGTCCAACATCGTGGGTTTTCTCCGGGTCCTCCGGTTTCCTCCCACTGCTAAAGACCCCTACGCGCAAGCGAATTATTGAAATAAAATTAAAAAAACCATATGTTAGTCCCGAAATGACCTAGTTTGTGTCGAGTGGACGTTAAACCCCATTTCTCTCTCTCTCTCTCTGTCGAGTGGACGTTAAACCCCATTTCTCTCTCTCTCTCTCTCTCTCTCTCTCTCTCTCTCTGTTTCACTTTGTTGCACCTTGTAAATGCTCTAACATCAAAATTTATGTGCCGATCTGTAAGAAATTTATATGCGTCATTTAAATTAGTATAAAGAAGAATCCTATTGAATTTCAGCAATTTCCATTTATTACATCTAGAGTTATGGTCCTTGTTTCACTTTGTTGAACCCTGTGAATCTTCTAACGCCAAAAGTTATCGTCTGATCTTTGTGAAATTTATATGCTTTATTTGAATTAGTGTAGCGAAGAGGCCTATTAAATTTCAGCAATTTCCGTTTATTATGTCTAGAGTTATGGCGCTTATTTCACTTTGTTGAACCTTGCGAAAGCTCTAACGCTAATAGTTATCATCCGATCTATATGAAATTTATATGCATCATTTAGCTTAGTGAAACGACGAATCTTATTGAATTTCAACATTTTCCTTTAATTACGTCTCGAGTTATTGCCTTGTCAACCTTGTCAATGCTCGACCGACAAATGTTATCATTCGATCTGTTTGAAATTTATATGCATCATTTAGATTAGTCAAACGATGAGGTCTATTTAATTTCAGCAATTTCCATCAATTTCTTCTAGATTTATGGCTCTTGTTTTACTTTGTGAATCTTATGAACGTTCGAATGACAGAAGTTATCATCCGGTCTGTATGAAATTTATATGCATTATTCAAAATAGTAAATTACTTCCAGAGTTAAGGCCCGTGTTTCAGTTTGTAGAACCTTGTGAACCATCAAACGAAAAAATTATAATCTGATCTGTATGGAATTGTCTTGTAAATGCCCCCGATTACCTTCAAAAAAAAAATATGCGACAAACCTTGTTGACCGCACGAACGATTTAGCTGCTGTGGGCGTATTTTCGTTGCCTTCCAACCTATTTTATTTCTTTAAAGATGCATTATGTAAGAGCCAATACTGCCCATTGCGGGTTTTCTCGTCTTCTTCAATTGCTAATTAAATTATTAATTTGGAATTTATTCACAGGAAACACCCTTACTCAACTCTTTAGAACATCAGAAGGCCGCGATATATAATGGATTAGAACCTTGGCGTCATTTAATAATTATTAAGCGATAACATGGATAATCGAGACTTTTTTTATTATCGTAGCAACGCGACCTTACATGCAGCATCAACATAATATAACAAGTTCTACACATAGTCCACACCTGTCCCAAACTTGACCAGTTTTAGTTCAGATTCCATATGTATACTGGTTCTCCTCTGAAAATTAAACACTTTCAGAGTTTTAATGTTTTTTTCTCCATATTTCAGCTTGGCTTGGAAGTCTTGGTATTGGCATATCCCTTTTCATATCACCTTTTGTAACCATCATCTGTCGGCGGAAGAGTCCACGGTTGTATGCAGTTATTGGAGGATTGATATGTGCTTTAGGATGTTTATTCCTCGCCTTCTCCACTCAACCCGAGCAGTTATTTATCAGTCATTGTGTGGTGATGTCCCTCGGAAGTGGTATAACATTGTCTACAGCTAATATCATGGTCGGGCGCTATTTTAGAAGACGACGTGAATTGGCGGAGATGATTCTTGTGTCTGGAACTGGAATAGGCACAGCTGTCATGTCGGTGCTGTTCCGAAAGTTAATAGGGTAAGTGATAATTTAACCAAGTTATGAAAAGGTGTTTCGGTTGCCGAGTGTTAAAAAATCGAAACCTTTATTTTAATAAGTCTTTTAAATATGTTCACAGTATTTAGATATAAAATGTAAATTATTGCATACACAATATTACAAATGTCCATTTGCAACGTCAAGAATTCACAATGTCAGCGTTGTCGTAACATTCTTGCGACAAAACTGCCCGTAACACAACGTCATGACCATCTACAGTATTATTTTCTTTACATTGTAACTTGTATACCGTTGCGGACAAATGGCTAAATGTGATTCTGGGTTTACACTAGACGATTAATATTTTTGGGTTTGGGTTTTTTTTTTCAGGGCAATAAAATGGATGTATGCATTACAGAGTGTAGCAGGACTTCTGGTATTAACTATTATAGCTGGAGCTCTGTACCGTTCTGCTTCACTTTATCATCCTCGTAGAAAAGTTATACTTCATTTAAAAAATCAGAAGAAAAATAGAAGAGACAGAGAGGCGGAAAAACCGCCATATTTAGACTTCAGTGCTCTCAAAATGAGATCGTTACAAGCATTGTTAGCTATATGTGGAATAGTGGCCATTGGAATACATGTTCCATTCATAACGCTAGTGAGTACATCTTCAATTACAGTAATTTAAGATTCCGATGTTGGACAATAAGAAGGATCAAATTATCCCGGTGTATAAAACAGGATGTATGTATTGTATATATATATCCATGTAAATAATCATACTCTAGAAATGGTTTTTTTAATCAAAAACATTTATACCGTCATTTGTACAATGATTTTAACTAACCGGTAAGTTATGGAATTAATAAATAAAAAATGTTATTATATTCTATTTTCAGATGAGAACAGCGTCAGAAAATAAGAATATAGATGGCGATCACCTGTTATTACTTAACGTGTATTTAGGTGTTGGCTTTGTGATCGGATGTTGTGCCTTGGGATATATTATAATTAAAAATAGTAATGACTGCTCCATTTCCAGGCGCCATTTGTGTCAAACTTCAGCCATTTTGTGTGGTGTTTTTACGCTTCTGTTTATTATGGCACAGGATCATAATGCACATTCACTATATGCGTGGGCTTATGGTATATGTTGTGGTAGTTACTATCTAACTTTAAAAATGTACGCATATGAATTGGTAAGGCACAAACTTATGGAACGGGCGTGGAGCTTTGTTTGTGCTGTACAGTGTTTTCCCTTTCTTTTTGGAGCTCCCGTGGCTAGTAAGTATATGCTGACTGTCCTAATATGACAAATTAATTTTTACATTAAGTAAATGTACTGATTAATAATTACATTTTCTGACTTAGTTCATACACTTGTTGTAAGTTTTTTGGGAGACGTTTTTTAAGATCAACCAAATATACATGATTTACAGAAGTAAGCATCACCAGAAGTATGTAATAGTATAGCAATATATTTCGAAATCTATCTGTGGAAAAAAACAAATCTATTTACAATAGATCTGACTTCAGTGCAGGCAATTTTGAATTTCTTCATGGACATTACTTAAACGGCATATGGCTCTATTCTTTTAAACCTTAAAATAGATGAAAATGGGCCTAAATGCACGTATTAATGTACACATTTCTTAATTATTATTTTGTCCATTGTGAATCAGCCATTACTAATTACTTCCGCATTATCTTGTAGGATATGTTTGTCTTTGTTCATTACAAATGGAATGCTAAACCATAGTGTACACGACTCACGTACTTATTTTAAAATGGCCATTGTGTCTTAAATTTTAGATATTAGGATCACATACGGCAAGATAACTGCATCCACATTGATTGGAATCGACCAATATTAAATTCCAATTCGTGTTTTTAATTTCGAATATAATAGAAAGAGTTGACAGTAAAATGAACTTATAAACCTCGCACCCTTTTAATCAGAATTAAAGCATTCTTGTGTATCTTTTGTTGACTATAGTATATTATAGAACAATCACATTCTGTCGACTATACCACATTGTAGAACAATCACATTCTGACTGTACTGCATTGTAGAACAATCACATTCTGATGACTATACTACATTGTTGAACAATCATATTATGATGATTAATGACATTCTGATGACTATACTGCATTGTAGAACAATCATATTATGATGATTAATGACATTCTGATGACTACACTACATTGTAGAACAATCATATTATGATGATTAATGACATTCTGATGACTATACTACATTGTAGAACAATCATATTCTGATGACTATACTACATTGTAGAACAATCATATTATGATGATTAATGACATTCTGATGACTATACTGCATTGTAGAACAATCACATTCTGACGAATATACTACATTGTAGAACAATCACATTCTGATGACTATTCTACATTGTAGAACAATGCAATTATGTTGACTATACTACATTGTAGAACAATCCCATTGTGTTGACTATAATAGAGATGACCTATATTTGGATTAGAAATGAATTCCATGTTAAACTAGTGTTGAACTATACAACCTTTAAACAGACGACAGTTTATGTCAAGGCCCCCGCCGAAACCCCAAAATAAATAGATGACTTGACTAAGTTCGATGATGAGAATTTTCTGCTTAGGCTAAGGAGCAATTTGATTGGTCAAAACTTGGAACATAACAATTCTGCTTTTAATTGAGGTAGAATGTTTAAACTTGATGTAGATGTTCATTAGGTGAATGTCTTGACCAAGGTTAATGATTATCATTTTAAGCTAAAGCTAAGCTTTGGGACAAGATAACTTAGATTCTATCTGATAGAAAGTGATGAAACATAGTGTATAGTTGATAATCAGTCATCTATTTATTTTGGGGTTTCGGCGGGGGACTTCAGCCTCACTGTTGGCTAGTTATTCATATGAATAGATTGTCTTCATTGAAAAGAAGCCGAGAAATATATGCAAATTGTGCGCTAACAAAGAATTTTTAAATAGTTTTATGTGACTGCCATGCTAACACAAGTAGGTCCTATTATTACAAGAATTATATCAGTTATGATGCAAATAAAACGAATAAAGCGGATGCTTTGCTTCGATGTTATTTAGATAGTAGTAAATGTGTATATTTATGAGTGAAATGCCACTGGTCATTCTTGGGTTTAAAATGTTAGTCTCCGTGAATTTTAAATTCAATATGTTAAAATAAACATTTTAGCGACATTTCGCCTGTACACGCGCAACAGTGATTGACAATAGGTTTGAAGACAGATATATATTTTTGTTTTTTGAATATGTCAAATTTAAATGTTTATGTATCTAATATTTTAATCTTATATAGAGTGAATACACAAATGTAGATATCCACCCTAAAATAAGGTCATTTTCACATTCCCCCACCCCCCAGCAAACCAGTTAATCTCAATGGACTACCGTTATCTCCAACTTAAGTGGCAGCTCACTTTCTAAACATACTTCTTGAATCAGATGAAAATAGAATCACTTGACGAAATGGGGATCTAAAGTTAATCTTTATGTTTTCCGTCTCAGGAACTCGTTTTAAAAGATGTTATTTCGTCATATTACATCGTCACTGTATTCTATTTGCAACATTTCGGAGACAGTGGTCGTTTTAACTTAATCTGATTCGTAACAGTGGTGAACGATCAATACTCTGACGCCGGTCTTTGGCGTGATTCCTTTCTATAAATGGCACCATTGACGTCAATTGTCACCATGGTTCCAAGAGCGGCCTTCGTAAAACAGGATGTTTTGCCCAGGTGCGAAGCCTTGTAACTGCTATTTATAGGTACACTAATCGACATATAGGTTACAATAAATTTCTCTTCGTTGGTTTAAAGCGGTATTAACATTTTCATCAAGAAAATTATTATGATTAATTTTGAACAATCTCATATATGAAATTAAACTTAGACTCCCCCAAGTTCTACAATTCCTAGCACTGAGGACCTGCGTGGATTGAGGGATTTTTGACTGTTTTTTGTTAAACTCCTTGAAGGGCTCTAAAACTAAAATAAAGTGCATAAGAGGGAAACAGAAAGCTAAAATGTCTGTATTTCAGCGATTTTAAGCTTCTCAGGTTTTACACGAGTCGATTTCAATGGGACCATTATATCTTTAATTTGATTAATTAAACTAATAATGACATATTAATCATTGGAGAATTTTTTTTTAAAACTTAATGATATAAAATTTGTCAGGCCCCCCCCCCCCCCACAAATTGATCAAAATGTTCCAGAGTAACATGAACCTAAATGCAGAGGCTTATGCAGGATTTGGAAAAACGGGAGTAGAGCACGAAATCTTTGAATGACTTAAACTGATATTAAAATTTGGGGTTGGAGGTTGGGGCACCCAATAAGCTAAATACCCCAAAACAGCATTATAATGGTCAAATTTCTTAAAAATCCTACTGTCTATTCGCAAGCTATTATCTGCAAACAACTATTTTTAGTCGAGACGGGGCATATATCAAACTACTTTACCTTCTTCGAGCTCTCCCAAACTGAATGTGCTTAGCTCTACAATAAGTTGTCCTATCAGCACAAGTTAATGTTTTTAGAACTAATTAAAAATGTTAACCATCATGTTTTAAGAGCATTTTAATGGCATGAAAAGAACACACGGATTCATCAGAAAGATGTAAGCCGTGTTATAAAAGCTACAAATTAATGGTATTTTAATTCAGCGCAGATGCATCTCTTATTGGAAAATGACTTGTCAAAATTTTGTGCAAGTTTGGGTCGAAGAAAGCAATAAGCCATAGGAAGAAAACTTGCATGTGGAAGTTATGATAGGAATGTTTGGTTTAAACAATATTTTATTTCTTAGTGAATCACAGATATATTTAACATACAATATATGGATACAATAACAAGCATTGCTGCTTATGTAAAATCGCTTCCATAAATAGTGATCATTCAGAAGTGGACGACTGGATGTATTTGATTAACATATTTTACAGAGTGCAAAAGGTGAAGGAAAAGAAGGTAAAGAAGGTAAAGATCCCTTAGAAAGGAAATAAACAGTACATATACAAGTAGATTATAACGATAGATATTCAATAAGACGATGACGATGCCGAGGCCCAAAATTAGTTCATCAAGTTTTATGAATTTTATGAGTTCATCTGCTAACTGGAGGGGGTGGGGAATTTCAGTAATGATCTAGGCAGTTTTAAAGCGTTTAGTTAGTTTGATAAAATTATGTACGATTTCAACGATTAAAGAATTTTCATCAAAAGAAGTAGCGGTGTTTCCAAAAAGTATTGTTTGAATATTCCTATGATCAAAACCTAATTTATTTATTGTGATTTTTCGCTGAGAATTGTATAGTGGACAGTGTAAGAAATAATGTTCACAGTCTTCGACACCTTGACCACAAAAACATGAGGGATTTTCCGATATGTGCATCAAACACTTATGAAGGTTTAAGTCGCTCTTTGAGTTTCGTAGTTTACAATGTATTATCTGTAGATGTCTTTCGCCTATATAGTAGTGAGCATTTGTTTCGATTAAGCGCATGCCTGATTTTAATTTAGTTTTGAATTCAGAAATAGTTTTGGAATTTTTTATTTGATGACTTAGATCATTCCACTGTTTAACAGAGGAAGGAAAAAAAGAATTCTGGTATAGTAATGTTCTACAGTTTATTTGCTTAATTTGGTTTGAGTTACGAAGACGGTAGGGTTGGTCGGCGGATACAAGAGGTGGGATTATATCGGTTAGATATTTAGGAACTAGTCCATTTAAAATTTTGTAGAAAAGTATCATTTTATGTTGATAGCGTCTTAGTTGAAGCTGGCATATTCCGGTTTCCGTATAAAGTATATTATGAGAGGTACCACGTGGAAGAGGAATGTTTAGCTACATCTACCCAGCCTATTATAAAGTGTATAACCCACAGCTGTGTCATTCTGTGTTTTTGTTGGGCAGTTATTTTTGCAATGTTTAGTACAGTGTAAAAGTACTGATCAAAATACTTAAGAATTGATGTCGGAAAAGGACGTGGTGATTCTCACACAATGTTTATACCGTATACTCAATACGCTATAACAATCATTATTTACATATGGTTAAAAAAAAATAACATTTTACTTATGCCACCAGTAGCTGGTTTATTTAACCTACTTGGCTATAACAATATATTGGCCCGGATCTTATGTTATTCTGTACACTCCATGGCGATACGTTGTGGAAACTATATGCCTATAATATTAAGAACATATTATATAATCTAACACAATGAAAACACGGCCCTTTTAG